AATACATTGAGGAAAAGCTGAGAAGCGCTTACAGCAAGCACTCAGTGAAAGTCTGAGGGACCACTTAGCCTAGCGAGAGTGGAGAGGGCCACCACCCAGGCAACCTTACTGTGAAGGCACACAAGTGTCCTTAACCTTTCCTAGGACTTATTCCTGAGATACAGGTGGTACTGTAGCTTTGAACCACCTTCTGTGCTAGGGCTTATTTAAGTGAACATGGCAGACCAGGTCCCTGCTTTCATAGTAAGTCTGTGGTGATTAGATTTTAGAAATTAGCATAAGCAACCATCTCAGGTGCTGGTTTGATACATCATTGACATTTATAGTGCTTCTTCATTTCACTCACTTTTCTCATCCATTTGGTCGATGCGTATTTAGAGAGCACCTGTTGCAGACTCACTGGAATATAGTTTGGAAGAGCATACTTCATTCAGGGTTGTCTAACCAGGTGGGCTTCAGGCTGAGTCAACTCACAATTGTTGCCTCCTGGATCTGGATGACCCCAAAACGCCAGATCTTTAGTGTCTAGGTTCTGGAACATGGTAAACTCTCCAAAAAATGATTACCAAATGAATTTTTTAAAAGAATAAACACACTTCAGGAGTTACATATTCTAGACAACCCCTTTCTTGAGCACCATTCACTTCGGCATTTTAGCTATCTTGTGTTCAACCAGTTCACCTTTCAGCTGAACAAGTGAAAGCGAATGTTTCTGGGGCTAGAAATACTCCAATGGGTGTCTGTCCTCTTCTCTCTAATCTTTGCAGAGTACAAACAATAGTCACTTACTAAAAACACTGTGTGAAGAGTGTCATAAGTGGAGGTGGGTCACCATTCTCACAAAAGATCCCCAGCATTTTCATTCCTGCATCAGTCTCCTCTGCGCTTGGGCCAGCTCCACATCCGATTGTGTCCCGAGTCCCTCTGCTCCGCTGTTCTCCCTGACTGCTCTCCCTAATCTCCCCTGTTCCCCTCCACTAACCTAATTCTTACTTATTCTTAAGGGCCAACCATAGAAAGTACCCTTTGCTTTCTAGGAGTCTTCCCTGAGTTACATCCCCCTCCAAGACCTATTGTATGTGCCACTCATCGTTTGACGCGAGTGTGCGGCTTTCACCTCCTGCAGACCACAGTTCCCATCAGGTGCCCTCTCCTACAGGTACAGCTTGGCCTGGGTCCCAGTGCCTGCCCCTTGCTTCTTTAGGGTTAGGGATGGTAATGTCACCCGGATGTTGCCGGTCCCGTGTATCTCACCATCCCTTGTGGTTCCCAGAACCCTTGCCAACACATCTGTAAATAGTCCTTTCCTTAAATTCTCCTCATTACTGTGCTTGAGTGCCTGGACACCACCCAGTGCAGGCGGCCACTGTGGAGCCCTTGGGCTGTGCCTCGATGCAGCCTCACTGGGGTGCTTAGGAAGCATTTGGTGAAGAAAGGAATAAAATCAAGGAAGGACTATCAAACCCAAATTAACATTTTATAATCACAGAAGAAAAAAACAATCTCTACACTCTGCGGTTCCTCAAGGTTCGTCTTCACCTTGTACTTTGATATGAATGAGTATAGTGCTTACACATTGTTTGTTCTCACGGTGTTTCATCTTAAATCTGTATTTATAACGTTAATCTATATTAAATAGTTCATATGATAAACCTCACTTACTCTTCCAGGAAAAAAATTAGTTGGTCTCAGATAAATTGGGTTAGTTGAACTGGAATTTCTATTCTTTTCTCCTTTTTCTCTTTTTCATTTACTGTTTAAGGAGTTTCTGTACTGATGGCCCAGTCCTTCCAGACTCTGACCCTCCCCACATTCAATCCTTTTTCTGAACTTTTTTTTCTCCCTCTGTTGCCCAGGTTAGAGTGCAGTGGTGTCATTTCAGTTCCCTGCAACCTCCAACTCCAGGCTTAAGTGATCCTCCTACCTCTGCCTCCCGAGTGGCTGAAACTACGGACGTGCACCTTCTGTAGACCACAGTTCCCATCAGGTGTCCTCTCCTACAGTTACATCTGGCAATCTAGACCTCTTTTTGCATACCTCAATCTGAGTGATAAAAATTAAATAGACCTTGGCTCAGCACCTGTAGCTTAAGTGGCTAAGGCACCAGTCATGTACACCTGAGCTGACGGGTTCAAATCCAGCCTGGGCCCGCCAAACAATGACGGCTGCAACCAAAAAATAGCCAGGCATTGTGGTGGGTGCCTGTGGTCCCAGCTACTTGGGAGGCTGAGGCAGGAGCTCGCTTGAGCCCAGGAGTTGGAGGTTGCTGTGAGCTGTGATGCCACAGCACTCTACCCAAGGGACAGCTTGAGGCTCTGTCTCAAAAAAAAAAAAAAAAAAAAATTAAATAGACCTGATGAATACACAAGCTGGCAATATCTTCAGAAAGTCCCAGCTTTTTCACTTGATTTTCTACTCCTTGTTCTACTGCATGTCCATTGTGGCACCTGACATATGCAAATCACACATGGGTGAGGAAACAAGTGCATTAGCTCAGTGAAGCTGAGGAGGAAAGACAGATGTGCACAGAGAACCTCAAGGGCAGCCTAGGTGACTCCCTGAGCAGGAATCTTTCTAAAAGGCACAGCCTCAGCTGGCTTCCTTATGACAGCTAATATTTCATGAAGCACTACTGTTGGGTACTTTGCTAGGTCCATGAAGAGCAATAGCAGGTTGATTGTGGTGAGAATGCCAGGTTATACTGTTCTAAATCTTAGCAATGTTGTAGTCCGATTCAGAGTTACAACCACTAACCTTGAGGATAAAAAAAGGCAAAATCATTTCAACCAAATGATCCATCATTTCAGTCACTGTAGAACTATATCAGTGGGAGATACTCTGGCATCTGTGGGTTCTAAAGCCAAAAATTCAGAGAGAAAGAGAAGAAAACTATCAGAACTAACTCCAAACTTTTATTTTAAAGAAAAGAAATGGTTTATGATTAATTAGTGGCAAAGAACTACCTTCTTTTTTTCTCTTTTCTCATAATGTATTCAACATTATTTCTACTTTTTCCCGGGATAAAATTGTGGACTAAAGCCAGGTGAGTTTTCAGAAGGGAAATGCCATGAAATGTAGAGGAGTTTAACCTTCTCTGCAGTAGTTCCCCCTTTATGTGGTTTCAATTGCTCAAGGTCTAACAAGGCTCAAAAATCTTAAATGCAAAATTCAAGAGGAAAAAGAGAGATCCCCTTTATATAACTTTTATTATGGTATATTGTTGTAATTGTTCTATTTTATTATTAGTTGTTTTTAATTCCTTAATGTTCCTAATTTATAAATTAAACTTTACTGTAGGTATGTATGTAAGGAGAAAACATGTGTTATCCAAGGTTTCAGGTATCCACTGGGGGTCTTAGAAGGTTTCTCCCATAGATAAAACAGACTACTACAGTTTCTGATCTTTCTTGCATTTCAAGTGTATTTGGAGTTCACTTAGCTTGCCAACTCTCTAGAGATAATAAGTAAATAATCAGTGGTACAAATAAGACTTACTCCTAGAAATAAGGATGTGGTGAACGCCGGCATGAGTGGTGTGGTTTCTTCACGGGGAGAGATGCTCAGATATATGTATTTTTTACCTCTAAGATGTTCTCCTTTATACCTATACAAATGACAACTACCTATAACTTCTATGGTCATTCTTAAGGATTGAAAAAAATCTGAAACCATTTCTTCATGACAAGGGAAAATCAGCAACATAGTTTTTTTTTTGTTTTTTTTGTTTTTTTTTTGAGACGGACCCTCAAGCTGTCCCCCTGGGTAGAGTGCCATGGCATCACGCTCACAGCAACCTCCAACTCCTGGGCTCAAGCGAGTCTCCTGCCTCAGCCTCCCAAGTAGCTGGGACCACAGGCGCCCCCCACAACACCTGGCCATTTTTTGGTTGCAGCCATTATTGTTGTTTGGCAGGCCCGGGCTGGGGATTCGAACCTGCCACCTTAGGTGTATGTGGCTGGCGCCTTAGCCGCTTGAGCCACAGGCGCCGAGCCAACCAGCAACATAGTTAAAGAAACATTTTACAATCCAAGCAACCACAAACAGCTCAAGTTAACATCAGAAACAGGGAAGTATCAGGACAATTTTGCAGCCTTGAAGGAAGTCTCTGAGTTGAATAATTGAATTAGAGACAGGCAGCACAGCTTTATGAAAGCGATATCGTGTGTACCTTACTAGTTGGAATGCTTTAGAGGGCATTAGTGCCACAGAGAGAAAATGGAACACAATGGATGTCATATAATTGTTAAAAAGCCATTGGACGCTGTTAACAATAAAGATTATTGGCTAAGACCACATCTATTGTGTAAGGTAAAATAGCTTGTTGGATTAAAAAATTGTTCAAAACCTGCAGAAAGTGAGTGAATGTTAATGGTAATTTTTTTAAAAAAACTGAAGAGAGTTTATCAGTAAGAGTGAAATATTAGCTTTGAAAGCAAATGACTAAAATTGGAATACGTACAATCTAACCTCATTACAAGGCTACTGTGGTATCTTCTCTGACACTAGGTACTCAACTTCCAAGTATTTTTCAACTCTATTATGTTTACTGTTTTATAATAACCTCTCTCTCTGGAGAAAAGATGGAAAGAAAGGGACATGTTTAATAGAATACAATTCTGTGTGTTGACTGTAATTATTGCAGTACAAATCCTTGACTTTTTCAACTTGGCTATTTAAAAATTAAAAACACATTTTTTCATCTGTCTATAGAAACAACATAATCAAAAATCAATGTTATCTTCTCAACATTATTATTTCTCTGTATATTATACCAACTTGAGTTATAACAAATTATTAACATGCCATCTATCTACAGACAGGTAGGCAAATTTGACCTTGTAAATCATCTAACTCATTGTGGTCTCTCCAAAAGGCTCTGCATAGTAGTATTAATTCCTCTTATAAAACTTTTTATTATATCTAATTCAGCCACTAAAATATGAGTAGAACCTTATTTCTTTCTTTTTTTTTTAAATAAATTACCCCAGCATCATTTGTTCACAAATATGGAATGCTTCATGCATCTGTGTGTCATCCTTGGGCAGGCGCCATGCTAATTTTCTCTGTATCATTCCAATTTTACTGTATGTGCTGCTGAAGTGAGCACTATTTCTTTCATCTTGAGTGCAGAGTTTTTTTTGTTTTTTTTTTTTTGAGACAGAGCCTCAAGCTGTCCCCCTGGGTAGAGTGCCGTGGCATTACAGCTCACAGCAACCTCCAACTCCTGGGCTCAAGCGAGTCTCCTGCCTCTGCCTCCCAAGTAGCTGGGACCACAGGCGCCCGCCACAACGCCCGGCTCTTTTTTTTTTTGGTTGCAGCCGTCACTGTTGTTTGGCGGGTCCAGGCTGGGGATTCAAACCCGCCACCTTAGGTGTATGTGGTTGGCGCCTTAGCTGGTTGAGCCACAGGCGCTGAGCCGAGTGCAGAGTTTTTAGGATACATCAGTCTGGTATGGTGGAGAGCTTGCTTTGTTTTGATGGCTTTATGACAGAAGTCATATTTTCTGCAATCTGTCTTAAGCAACTTTTAGAGAAAGAATTAAACAAAACAATCAGGGTAGATTCTATATCAAGTATAAATGTGAAAGTACTCTGTTTAAACTAATAACAATCTGGTTGTAAATCCATGTCATGGTTTAAATTAGATTTTAAAAAGTTAAAAACCTTATGAGACTCTACAAAGCCTTTAAAAATATGGAGAATTGATACGCATATTGATATGTCTATGTGCACACACCATTGCCTGTTAATAATGACAGCCACTGTGATGCTAAAGAATTGCACAAAATTCCTTTGGACACAATGGGTCTGACTCAGCAACTTGGATCTTTTAAGACCATCTTGAGCAAAGCACTATATTGTGCATAGACACTTATCACTTTACATTTTTCTAGTAAATATATTCCACTATGTGTTTTGCTCATTGGCCACTTACATTAAAGAATGGATTTCAGCAGCAAATTGTTAAAACATGGAGGGTATTTTACATTTAAAAAGTTCAGTGTATCCAAATTGCAGTGGTGGTTACAGTAATCTATATGTATGTTAAAATTTCACAGAATTGTACACCCAAAAAAGTCAATTTTGCTGTATGATAATTTAAACCAGCCAGGCGTGGTGGCTCAGGCTTGTAATCTTAGCACTTTGGGAAAAGCAGAGGTGGGAGGATCCCTTGAGGCTAGGAGTTCAAGATAATTCAAACAATAAATTAATGTTTTTTGTTTTTGGTTTTGTTTTTTTTTCAGTCCCGTTCCCACTATATGCCTGGGCTACTCTTCACCTCCTACTTACCCTTCAGGGATCCTTCCATTTTCCCACAGCTGGCCAGAATTCATTTTTAAAAAGAGTTCAGGATGTAATAAATGGTTTAGTTTTTTAATGTTTGTCTTTGGTTTAAAGGATAAAATATAACCTATGGCATGTAGGAAAAGTTTGTAAATAAATTACAAATATGCTGAGACAGTAAGGAACAAGAAAAAATATTTTAAAGTACATACAAAAAAATATTCAAGAACTATGCATTCTGGGACTCTGAACTTTCTCAAGGGAGAATTCCAAGGCTAGTAAATCTTCACAACATCAAACACTTACTGCCTCAAAACATGAGAAGGCCTTCCCAGGACTTACTGGTTAGGAATAAATATTTCCCTCAGCTATTAATAAAAAATAATTTAAAATCATATTTGCATCATAGAATAAGAGCTGGAAGGGAACATAAGAAATTGTTTGATTACCTCCAGGCAGGTACAAATGAGGGAGCAGGGAAGGGGAAGAAGGAGGGGATGGTGGTCAGGGTGTGTGGCACACCTCTTGGGGGTAGGTGCTTAGCCAGAGCTTACACTCCCTTCTTAACAATCTGCAAACAGATTCCACAGTAAATTTGCTAACAAAGATATTCCTGTGTTTCACCTGGAATGGTTAAGTTGGGGTTGTGAATCTATGTGTCCAGCTTAAATAGCTCCTATGTTAAGTTTTCTCATCATCTTTGACCTCTCTAGCCATGGAGAACTACTATCAAAATTCCTCTTATAAAACATATGCATGCTTTCCAAGACATTATCCCAGGCTAGAATGCCATGACATCAGCCTACCTCATAGCAACCACAGACTCCTGGGTTCAAATGATCCTTTTACCTCAGTCTTCTAAGTAGCTAGGACTACAGGCGCTCCACTCTCCAAAATGCCCAGCTAATTTTTCTATTTTTAGTAGAGACGGGCTCTTGCTTTTGTTCAGGCTGGTCTCAAACTCTTGAGCCCAAGGGATTCTCCCTCCACAGCCTCCCAGAGTGCTGGGATCACAGTAGTGTACTACCATGCATGGCCTAAGTCATATAGTCTTATCAATATTCAGTCCTGGCTGAGCAGGCACGGTACTCAGCCCTTTGGGAGCCAAAGGGGAAGATCATGTGAGGCCAGGAGTTTGAGACCAGCCTGGGCAAGATCAGCGACATCTGATCTCTACTAAAAATTAAAAAAAAAAAAATTAGGCAGGCCTGGCTTAGGCAGGAGGATGCCTTGAGCCTGGAAGTTAGAAGCTGCAGTGAGCTATGATGATGTCACTGTACTCCAGTAGGGGTGACAGAGCAAGATCCTGTCACAAACCATAGTCCAGAGAGTAGTAGACTGTGTCCAGGTCCTGGAGTATGTTTCTTTCTTTTTCTTTTTTTTCTTTTTAAGACATTATGTATACAAACAACATACAAATGGGCCTCATGTAAAATGCAAAACTCCAGTAAAAGGCACATGGTTCTTGAGGGAGCAGGGAGAGGGGAAGGAGGGGGATAGGGGTCAGGGTGTGTGGCACACCTCTTGGGGGTAGACACAATTATAAGAAGGACTTTAGAATGGAAGAAAAAGTATCCAATGTACTCAGCCCTACTATGAAACTAATATAGGAAACCTATAACCCAATTATAGCTCAAGAATATGGGGAAAAGGGAAAGGGAGGGGAGGGAAAGGGGGCAGGATTGGTGGAGGGAGGGTAATTGATGGGACCACACCTACTGTGCCTCTTACAAGGGTACATGTGAAACTTACTAAATGTAGAATATAAATGTCTTAACACAATAACTAAGAAAATGCCATGAAGGCTATGTTAACCAGTTTGATGAAAATATTTCAAATTGCATATAAAACCAGCACATTATATCCCATGACTGCATTAATGTACACGGCTAGGATTTAATAAAATAAGTAAATAATAAAAATTTTAAAAAGGACTTTATCTAGCAAATGCAATCAGTATAACCTAATTCTTCCAGGGGTCCTCAAACTTTTTAAACAGGGGGCCAGTTCACTGTCCCTCAGACCCTTGGAGGGCCAGACTGTGGGCCCCAGGATGAGTCGGCTGCTAAGCAGGACAGGCAGTGGTGGCAAAAAACCCCAGCAGGCTGCATGTGGCCTGCGGGCTGTAGTTTGAGGACGCCTGCTTTATACCCTCAACGAATCTCAAACAATAAAAAGAAAATGATAAAAGTGCATGTAAGAATACAAAAAGAAGTAGTTTTATAAGTTGAGAACATATATGTGATTGGAAGAAAAGCTACCTCCTCTAGCTGGTGTCCCTGGCAGCTGCCATTCTCTTCTTATCAACATTTGGGTGGATGTGCAGATCCCTTCCTCTGAGGAGATCAGTAGTCACAGAAATTTATAGACAGCCACAGAATTAAATAAGCAGCCACCTCTAACATTTGCATAATGAATAAGAACAGAAATAGCTAGGGATGTGGATATAAAGTTTATAAAGACACTTGACATTAAATTTCAAACTCTGAGTAATACCCAGAGACTGGATTTCTCTTTAATTACTAAAACAACCCTGCTTCAAAGAAGTGTCCAGATTACCATGACCAACTTTAGATATGGCCAGGACAAGACCTAGCAGATGACAAGGAAGAAACCCCCAACAGAACCAGAACATAGAACCTCATCACAGTCAGGTGACCGGGAAGAAAACCCCAACAGAACCAGAACAAATAGTTTATAGCCTTACTGACAAAAGGGTTTGACCACTCATTGCTGGGGAAAAGGTCCACACTTCTATTGTACCGTCATATTATTTTTTACTAACTGGACTTGTATTAATTTCACAGTATGTTTCATTTCTTTTCCAACTGAATGTTTTACATCTGTAGAAAACTCCTACTTTATGTACTCCTAACATGGTGTTTGCTAAGAAACAAAAACAAACAAACAAAACCCCCCACTCTATGTTTCCTTTTATGTGCCCAAACTTGGTGGGCATAAGAGGATGGGCTTCTTCTAAATCCTATTGCTCAGAATATGTAAAAACGAAATGAAATATTAATAAGGAGCATCCCCAGACAGGCCTCTTACTGTTTGAATGTGCCACTTATAAATTACCCAAGAATGAGACCTATTCTGTGAAGGAGAGAGGATCTGCTCTCGAAACTGTTCAGTGAAAGTTTTGTTTTATATCCAGGGTGGGGTGTCCCATAAAATTGCCATTATCAACTGTGCAAGACAGAACTTGAGGGAGCTTGAAAACCAGCCCCCATTTTAAAAACCTGGAAAAGGCAAATAATTTAGTGACTTAGGCCTCGGCCTGGGAGGCTGAGGCAGGAGGATCACTTAGCCCAGGAGTTGTAAACTGCAGTGTGTTATGCTGATCAGGTGTCTGCACTAAGTTTGGCATCAATATGGTGATCCCCTGGGAATGTCGGGGAACCCCAAGGTTGCTTAAGGTGAGGTTAACCTGCCCAGGTTGGAAACAGAGCAGATCATAACCAGTGCTGGTCAGTAGAGGGCTCACACCTGTGAGTAGCTGCTGCACTCCAACCTAGGCAACACTGCCTCTATTTTTATTAAAAAAAAAAATCCCAGAAAAATTAACATTGAACGTTATGGGTCACTTCCAATCTTTCCTGCTTCCCTGACAAGAGGGACAAGAGGTAATGTGGGTCTGAGGAGGAGACTAAAGATTAATAGTTTAAATAAAGAAAAAATTTTGTCTTACGGGCCCGGGTGCAGTGGCTGAGGCCTGTAATCCCAGAACTCTGAGAGGCCAAGGCAGGTGAGCTCACAGGTTCAAGACCAACCTGAGCCAGAGCTAGACCTCATCTCTAAAAATAGCTGGGTGATATAGTGG